CTTTTGTTTGTTCTTTTCCTGAATTCCTTTCCCTCACCCCCACTCCCCAAATCTTTGTCTAATCACTGGTATCATCACTTTGTTTAGCATACATTGTATCAGCATTAACTTAACATCTTTAAGCTTTAAGAAGCATACATACACAGAAAAATGCAAAATACTGCATATGTGAACAATAGTGAATAAATATATTTGAAAAAACCTTAGTCTGTTGTTTTAAAAGTAACTTCAAGTTTATTTGATATTAATTCTATATTCACAGTGTATTTCACGTTTATAAATACTTTTCACATTCATACCACAGACTTAAAACTTGTGAACAGGTATTTCTAAAAATGCACTGCCCAACCCCTCTCCTCCAATGGGTAGGAATGAATCTAGGTTTCTAAAGAAAAGTGAAAATCTGTTGAGTAGGAAGTGTGTCTTTTCAGACAAGACTTGGGGAAACTGATTTTGAAGCAAAATAGGTTGCTTCTCTTCCCTCTAAAGAATCCCATAATAGGAAACTATTATGATTATGATTTGACATCACAATATTCTTTGCATAGAAGCATATACCATAGTAGCAGCCAAGAAGTACTCTCTAGTTGGCCTCCATTATCTGGGCTCTACCCACCTGCCTTTGCAGTGCCAGAGAAGTGGGAAGGGGGAAGTCCCTTCGGAAATTAAATGTACCTCTGATTCTTGGACCAAGTGTCTATTCTTCGCCACTAAGAGCAAAGCCACAGTGTGACAGTTTTCCCTGATGAATTTATACTAAAGTTTAAGGTCTGTCCTTTGAGGCTCTGCTTGTGTCTAGATCCAGATTAACTACCTTCATGAATCTGATTTATAAAACTGGAACACCAGCTTGTAAATATACCAAGAGAAATTGCACAGAGGGTGGCATACTCAGGTTGGCATGGTCACTGAATTTGCTGTCTGTAGAAGCCCAGCTTACTGTACAATGAGAAAGATGAGTTTTTTTGTTTGTTTGTTTTTGCCTAGGCGGCATCACCACCATGTACTATGCACTGAAGGTATGCTTGTAAACCAAACAAAAAGCCTATTTCTTCCTCTAGGCACACCCACGTGGAATCTGAAAGGAGGGTACTAGGGTGCATTGCATAATATAAGACTAAAGCAATCTGAGGCGTCATTTCAGTTGTAGAGATGTCATTGTTTAATGGAAGCAATACTAGGAGCTAGCCTTCCCCTGGGAGGTGTTTGGCTGAGTAGGGTCTAGGTTTCTTTGTCAGTTTTAAATATTTGTGGTTGATAACTTCATTTTTAAGCTGTATTAAATGCAAATAGTGGCCTACTTTCCCACCCAGATTCTTTCAGAGAGCTTTGCGTGCTGTGTTTAATCGCCCAGGGATATGTGTATAACCCCTGTCCACGCTTAGAAAATGAGTTGTTAAAAAGATTGGTACATAAGCACACCCAGTATTTTTCCCAGTTCAGGGCATCTTTGGTGATGACACTGACTGGCTGTCTTCTGAGATAATGTTTTGTCCATCTGAAGCCCCGGAAAACCCTACTGCTGAGTGTGTGTTAGACTGCCACAGAAGTCAGCCCACAGTAGGAAGCACAGTTAGTCCTGTTAATAATTGCTGTCACTTTTCCTGTGTCTTTATAGTTTCTATTTAAGAAAATTACTGTCTGCATCTTGCTATGGTATTTTCCATCAAGGACCACAGTAATACTTTATCTTACAACAGCTTAACGTTCTTTGGCGTAATTCAAAATTGTAAGAGTTGTTTCTCAAGAGAAGCAGATTGTATTTTTCAATAGTTAAGGTCTTACTGGAATATTCTTACGTTACTATCTTTTCTTGTGCTTACTAATCATACTTTTACAACTTCAAACCAGACCTTTGCTCAGGTACTGGTATGTATAATCACACCACTGTACAGGATAGAAAACAAGAAGAAACCTTAGTGTCTTGTTCTTCACACTACAGATCCAATCACTTCCCAAATCCTATAGATTTTACTTTCTATGCATCTCTTGAATCTGTTCATGTATCCCCACATTACCAATGCCCTGCTTTAGATTTTTTTTTTAACTTAAGAATATGAAAGATGAGAGGGTTTTCCTGGCCAGTCGGTTAGTCAACCATAGGCTCATATCCATTCTGTGGATCCCAGAATTAACAAGTTTTCCGAGGAAAACTGGTTAACCATTGTGTCTTTGGGGCTTCTCTTCAATTGCTGTTGGAAGTGTATGGTGACCTCTAGTCCCCAGTGCTATGAAACAGGCTTGCCATTTGGTTTGTGAAGACTTAGTGAGATTTCCCTCTGGGCCTCTCCACTGGGTTTCTTCTGGCTACTCATGAACCTTTCTGAGCCACGATGTTTCTTGACTATAGAGTGCAGTTAGGATCTTTCTTGAAGTGACTGTGAAACTTAAATGACATTAAACTTTTCAGGGACTTCCCAGAAAAAAAAGATATGTTACTTTGTTCTTCCAATAACAAGTCTTGATAAACCATGTACAAGCTAACGCTGGAAATTTGGGGACCTCTGAAGTTAAGTGTTCTGGTTGTGGTTCTAAACTAGTGTAGAATCACTACACTAGTGAGGAGGGAGGAAGATAAACTTTGGAGGAAAATGATCTACTACCTGCTTGTTCATTGCTTCTGCCCCTTACCTGTTTTAATGGTTGCTAGTCCTTAAGGTGAACTATATGTGTGCTATGTGTATTTTAATTCTGGGAAAACCTAGAGAAAACAATTGGGTGATGAGAGATAGAGCTAAAGGCTAAAACGTTTAACCATCCAACTTGTTTAACTAGGAGAATTAAAAGGGGCCATAGAGATTGCATTGTTTTTGTTTTCAACACTTTGCTCATATTTCTAAGAGCTGTTACCCAGAAAACCTGAGATTTAAGCCCATAAACAGAAAAGCAATAGAAATAGAACTGCCCAGTTGACCTTCAGACATTATGTATTGAAAGTGTGCAGGCACTGTGCTTGGTACTAAGGAATATGACAACTGAACAAGAGAAGTTTTCTTCCCTCCTGAAATTTATTTTTTAGACTAGAGGGGATTTCGATGCTGGGACTCCACCAAGATTACCAGGTATTATCATTCCACCCCAATGTTAAGGAACCTTTGAGATCTTCCGAGGGGCAGACCCCTCCCCTCGACCATGTCCCCTGTTTCTTATTTGTAGAAAAGCTTTAACCTCCGAGGCCTTTCCTGTGTTCCAAAGAGCAAATTCAATCAGAAGTGAGAAAAATGCAGAAACAGAGGAAAACAGTCAAATAAGATAAAAATCGTTTAGCTATAAAACAAAAGTCAAGGACATTTAGCTTCTGCTCAAGGACTACAGATAATATTTGGAGCCATATCCTTGAGTTGTTTTACAGATAGTAACCCCCACCCCCAACCAGATGAAGGAACTGACTGTATACTGATGAAAGCACAGAAACGCCAGACCTTTTGGAACCATAGGGTTGATGATTTTGACTGGCAAAGTACCACCAGGTTACTTCATCACTAACCAGAAATCAATCAGAAAAATGTCCACCAGCTGATCCAGCACCTTGTGACCCTCTCCCTCACCTTGCCTTTAAAAGCCCTTCTCTGAAAGCCGCTGGGGAGTTCAGGACTTCTGAGCAGGAGCTGCTTTTTCTCCTTGCTGGGCATCTTGCAATATACACTGTACTTTCCCTTCATCACAAGCAGGTGTTAGTAGGTTGGCCCTGCTCCCAGTTGGGCAACAATCCTGGTGGTGGTAAGCGTGGGTTCTCAGCTCCTCTGTTGGAATCTGTTTATCACATCATTTTCTGAGAAGAGGTGTTTAAGCAGTAAAACCCAACGATTTTACTTGGGTTGTCTCCACCTGAAGTGCAATCTTCTAACCTCCCTGCAGCCAAAAATGTGTCCGGACCTAGGAATACCTTCCACCTGCATGAGGGGAGAGGGGACGGGGAGGAGGGTGGTGCTGAAATATCCAAGGACGAATGGATGGAGATGCCAAGGGGTAGCATCTGCAATAATGCCTCAACTGATAGGAACCCAGAGTTTTTGATTACCCAATATTCCCCTGAATTTGGCTTTTAAAAGAACAGGCAAAACAACAAAAAAGCAGGATCGAGTGATGCAAAAATATGTTGAGATGCTTGATCAAACCCTCTGCGCCTTGGGTCAAGACTCTGAAACCGCTGGCGCCTGCGCACTGGCGCCGGCCTCCGGCAGAAGCCCGGGGATGCAGACACTTTCTGACTCTGGGAGAACGGCTCCATCAAACGTTTTTATTCCCATTGCTACTGAACCTGTGCTGTGATTGAAGACACATCGTGTCCTCGAGAGATCGGGAGTGTTTCTTAGCTGCCTTGCTCCTCCGCCGGCACCGCCGAAGGCAGCCCCCACTGAGGGGTGGAAGGCGCGGGGTCCTGCGTTTCTATGACGACACGCAGGCGCTCTGGGGAGAGGCGAGGCGACGCGCTGTCTGGCGGGAAACACAACTTGCTGGTACGGGTTGCAAGTGTCCGTTTCC